TTTCAGGAGTTCAGAAACACTGATATAGAGAAGAACTGTCGTGAGGGACTTTTTCATCCTCAAACAGCAACATCACACACTAAAGAAAGATGAACAAGGAACAATAATAATCATAGGACCACTTTAAAAATGCTGCTGACTAATTCATCACACTGGAAATGGAAGCTCACGTTGGGTGTGTTGCAGTGTAGATCAGTGTACAGAATATATTATCATTTTTTTTTCATTTATAAGCAGCCAGAGATATTATCTTTGATTAATCTTGTTTACATTAATGTAATGCAAAGTGCGTCTTGGGCCCAAAATCTCCATCAGCATTCGTCTTTGCTGGTATTTTATTTTCAGTCGATTGGCAAAGGAGGATTTAGAAAAGCAATTTAAAATGTGCATTTAGTTGCAATTAACTTTATCTTTATATATTAATTTTAAAAAAATCAAAGCAAATTGAAAATTGATTATTATTATTATTTTTAAGTGTCACTCATCGGCTGTTTGAAATAGCATACTAATATACCTCTCATTATATGGTACATGCATGCAATACACTTAACCCTCCATTTTTAATGTGATTTATAAAATGCAAGTATTTTAACTCTAACTAACAGATAAAGTGTGTAGCATCTTGTGAATGCAGAAATCATTCTAGCTCATGCATGGCATGCATACACATGCACAGAGGCACTTTTAAAAAAAAGAATGATTAATAATGAAAATAATGAAAGATGATCAAGCAATTACTCTGATTTAAATCAGTCCGTGCCCTTGTGTGCCGCAAGTCGAGAAAACGTAATTTAGCAATGTCGTCGCCGGTCACTTCAGCGGATAATGCAAAGCAGCTTTATGCAATTTGTGTACAATACCACGACGTGCATGACAATGCAGCCCACGCTTCTTTTCATTACTCTGAGCAATTTGGGGCGCCTCCGCCGTGGCTCCCTCTCAAATTAAAAAAAGCCCAGCGTTTGGTCATCACACGCCGCTCTGCTTTAAACCCACCGTCTCCTTTTGTCTACCTCTCTCCAATCACACTTGGCAAGCCGTCGGCTCACTGGCTTCGCTCGCGTGCACGTTAAACACCGAGACCTTCCGGGTGCTTCTTAACTCTTGACTGCACTTGTGTCTCGTATATTAAACCTCGAAGGTTGGATAGCCAAATATTGTCCGGCAGATATGAAGGACGGTGGCGGTGGTGACGGGGATTATGAGAAGACGCTGGAGGCATATTCGACGGAGCCACGCCGCGAGAGAGAGGCCTCTGTTCCGATAGCACGCTAATCTCTATTTGCAGAGGAAATTGGAACGTATTTTGCACACTGAATAGATAAGAACAAGAATGGCGTTTGAAAACTAAAAAGGAATTTGACGTTGTTTTTTGCCACCTGCAAACAGCCCGAGCAAATTCACATTTCCTCTGATGTCCTGCTCGGCTCGCGTCACAGTGTGATTTCTGTGTGTAGTCTTATTTGTGCATACGAAAACACAGTGTGTGCGTAATATGTGGATGTTCCCATTGTCTACTAAATGGATTATCATTTCTACCATAAATACTCGTAGTTGTGAGATATAAAGACACCCTGAGAGATATTAACTGGTTATAATGAGAAATAAAGCAATTGTGAGATATGAAGTCCTGTAGCTGACACATACCATGATAAATCACCTGAAATATATTACGTTTGCTTATGATCGTCACATAAGTATGGAAGCTTGTTTCCGCTCCAGCATAGAACAATTAATGGGTTCACAGGTAGGCCGAAATGAAATCAGATGTGGTAATTTATGCGTATTTGGCGTGCTTTTTGGCCCGAACCCTGAAAAAAAATAAAGATTTTTACTGCTTGTTCAAATTGCTTGATTTAAAAGAGCTTAAGCAACACAATTGCTGTACGATTTATCCAAACTTAATTTGATTGTGTTCAATCTGCTTAAATACAAGTCAAATTTAAGTTTACTTGATCCGTTTGTGTTGGATTACATGAATGATTTGTGTTGCATTAACTGAAACTGGCCGGTGCTTGTTAGTTCCCAGCATGCTTTGCATGTATTGAAATATAAATATAAATGTTGAAATTAAGTGTTATTTTATGTGTTTTTGAGAAAACGAGAAAAGGGGAAGACTTCATAGTTCGTAGTTGTGTTTAATGTTCAATTACATTGAAATTATTATAACCATTCAAATAACAGTGGGTTACCATTTGGTAAGATGAAGACTGATTCAGCAATATGTAAATCATGTAAATCTTATCATTTAAGATGCTAAAAAATGCTTTTGGTAGTAAATAGATGGCTATAATTAAAAAAATGATTACTGTGTGACACTAAAATAAACTATTGCATTGGATGAATGGTTATATGAATTAGAATACCTGAATCATATCAGTTAGTCTAAAACATTGCAAACTAGTTGGGCTGACGCTATTATATTAAGCTGTGCCCAACCATAGTAAATAAGTTGAATCAACCTGAATAAATTAAGTTCAACGCAAGTGCATTAAATTGGAATAACAGCTGAAATATAGCAAGTTAATCATGTGGAAATCCTTTCCATGATTTTTTTTATGTTCATTCAAAGAGTTGTTTTTTTTTTTGTGTGTGTGTCCTGATTGGTTGATTACCTGAACGTGCTCCTCCCGAACTTTGTTACATAAAACTTCATTTAAAAAGGTAATTCTGACTTTTTATCTCGCAATGACGATATTTTGGGCGATCTCGAAACACATTTTCGGGCAGACACTCACTAGTAGCCTAGACTTGTTGTTTAACGACTGCGCTCTGTTACCTGCACTCTTAGAAGAAAAGGTTCTATATAGAACCTTAAAAGGTTCCATCAGTGCTACGTATTTGGAACCCCTAAAAGGTTCTATACACTCTTTAAAAAGGGTTCCTCTGGGTTCTGTATAGAACCCTGGGGTTTCATATTTGGCCAATAGAACCTTTTACCAAAAAAAAAAAAAAATAGTTCTATATAGAACCATATATGAAGCGGGGGGATAGAACCATTTCTTCTAGGGATGCACCGAAATGAAAATTCTTGGCCGAAACCGAAAACCGAAAAAGAGGAAACCAAGGCCGAAAACCGATAACCGAAACACCGAAAGAATTATTAGTATCATTGCATTTATGCCATGGCTATGACTGTGTACAAACTTTACTAAAATCAAGGCATTGCAATTGCATATTAATATGACATTTTCAAAGAATAAATCAATTACAAATTATGCAAATATTTATTTAGCACAATGCACAGTATAAAATAAAATTCTAACTAAAATGTTTAACTTTACCCCACTAATGTGTACACTAAATAATAATCTACTGGCCTGCAGAAAGGTTTTAAAATGAAACGTTCTCTCAAAAACAAAGCCGAGCGAGCGCAAACTTCTCATCAAACCAGGACCCAGTTTGCATGTCTAAATTAGTTACATTTTAAAAATTTGGCATACAATAGCATAAAAAGCTTTTTTAAATGAACAATAGTCCATGTTTAATACAAATGTACATGAAACTTAATGAAACATGTTTAGTGAATGTATTTAAATATTTAAGAGAGCATTAATTTAGTTCTATACATAGTTCCCAATCCCATATACATATTTTTTGTAATGTCACAAGTAATAATCTCAGGGTTTACTGGATTTTACATGATTATTTTTGTATTGGTGGTGGAATAGCCTACTAAAAAATAAGCACTGTCATGTGTTTATCTTTCTTCTTCTCACCGATTCCTGATGGTTAGAGGACAGTTACCTGAGTCGTCCCCTGTCGTTTCAAGGAATAGTAAAACGGAGAGCGGGTTTGGAGCGGTGCGCGCGCTGTCTGTGGAGACTCGCGCTGCCTTGTTTACTTTCGCCTGCCTCCGCAGCGCGAGTCTCCTCCACAGACGCGTTGTTTAGAGCAGATATAGGTGGATAAACAAGGTTTCCGTCTCATCGCGGGTTCAGATACACTGAAATGCGTCCGCACCGCAGACATGTTGCTTCAGACAAGCACGTGCAGGTCGCGGTTTCTGTTTGCGTCATCACAACATTTCGGCCGTATTGTTTCGGTGATAAAAGTCTTTCGGCCGAAAACCGAAAATGCACTTTTGGGCCATTTTCGGCCGAAAATTTTCGGCGGCCGAATATTCGGTGCATCCCTAATTTCTTCTAAGAGTGTAGGCGTGGCCTCCTAGGGCCGCGAAGGAAGTGCATTCTGGGAGTTGTTGTCTTTCAACCACACAAGCCCAAAATACATTTTCTGGCTTTTCTCAGTCTAGAGAGCTCCAAATTCAAAAATAATTCCACATTTCTACCCATTTTAAATACACATTCATCTTTCCAGATGTGAAAATTTGCCTTGGCAACTGACTGAAGTAGGGTCTAAAGGTCTAAAATGAGAAATGTGACACAAGCACAACAAAATGACTAAAAATGTAGGCCTCATTTTGAATGAAAAGCATTTGGCAGCACAATATTGTCTATTTGAAGAGGAAATTGAAGCGTATTTTGCAAAAACCTGAACAGACGAATTCACATTTCCTCTGATGTCCTGCTCGCTTCGCATCCCAGTGTGATTTCCGTGTGTAGTGCATATGAAAACGCACGTGTATGTGTTTGTACACAATTGTGACAGCGTTGAAGCGAGTGTGTGTGAGTGTGTACGTTCCCATTGCAGCGGCGGCCCCTTCATTTCACGCTCCGCCGCTTGCGTGCGAATCCTCTTCCCCGGGCTCATTATCAGGTCTGTTCGACGAGAGCACACGGGCCACAACCCAATCATTATTCAAGCCCGCTGCCGGTCAGCGCCGACGGCTCCATGCTGTCGTTTTGCGATCTTATTATTCTCTCCTCACCAATAACTAAGCAAAACCACAAAAACAAATCCTGCCTGATCAGGATCAATGAGGTACTCAGTACCCGCCGTGCCGCCCGGGGACCCGGGATCGAGTGGACCTTCTGTTGTTGGAATAGCCTAACTGCTGTGTGCATTGCTCACCGTCTCTCCTCTCGTTTCTCTGGCAGGACCCAGCGGTGCTCAGGCGGCCGAGTTCGGACACTTGCCCGACAACATTACCGTGCTGGAAGGAGAAAGCGTCATTTTGAGGTGACTTCACCACACACCTGCATCTTTGTGTGTTTGAGGATTAGTTCACTTTTGAAAAAACTTTTGCTGATAATTTCCTCACCCCCATGTCATCCAAGATGTCCATGTCTTTCTTTCCTCAGTCGAAAAGAAATGAAGGTTTTTGATGAAAACATTCCAGGGGTTTTTCTCCTTATAATGGACTTCAATGGGAACCAGGTCCAACCGAGGTCCAAACAACAGTTAATAACAGTTTCAGATGCAGCTTCAAATGTCTTTAAACGACACCAGACGATGAATAAAGGTCTTATCATGCGAAACGATCGGTTATTTCAAAACTTATTCCAAAAATGTAACTTTTCTAAGGACAAATGCTAGCCTTGTAATATATTGAATGGAGAAAGGCTAGCATTTGTCCTTAGAAAAGTTACATTTTTGGAATAAGTTTTGAAATAACCGATCGTTTCGCATGATAAGACCTTTATTCATCGTCTGGTGTCGTTTAAAGACATTTGAAGCTGCATTTGTAACTGTTATAACTGTCGTTTGGACCTCGGTTGGACCTGGTTCCCATTGAAGTCCATTATATGGAGAAAAATCCTGGAACGTTTTCATCAAAAACCTTAATTTCTTTTCGACTGAGGAAAGAAAGACATGGACATCTTGGATGACATGGGGGTGAGTAAATTATCAGCAAAAGTTTTTTCAAAAGTGAACTAATCCTTTAAATGGTTTAAAAACACCATCTAGGGCTGCATTATCAAATGGCAAATGCCCTGCACTGTATATTCTGGGTTCTTGCCTCATCATTAATAAGGTGTTTATTGAATTTGTTCTTTTAACAACACTAGTACAAACCTGGTAAAAATGAGTGGCGGTCAATGGAGGAAAGCCTTGTTTTGCCCTTCAGGTGTGTAAACCATCAAATGCAGGTTAAAGGAGTAGTTTTACTCACCCCCATGTCATCCAAGTTTTCCATGTCTTTCTTTCTTCAGGCGAAAAGAAATTAAGGTTTTTGATGAAAACATTCCAGGATTTTTCTCCATATAATGGACTTCAATGGGGTCCAAACGGTTCAAGGTCCAAATGAGAGTTTCAGTGCAAACTGCAAACTGTTCAAAGGGCTTTAAACGACACCAGACGATGAATAAGGGTCTTATCAAGCGAAACGATCGCTCATTTAAAAAAAAAAAATAACAAAGTTTAAGTTTTATAAGCTCAAATGCTCGCCTTGCTCTGTTCTGTGATGTGCGTTCGTGACCTTCATGTTCGAACTCGTTCATCAAAATGAATGAATCTTTTCCCGAGTCATTTCGATTCGTTCATCTTGATGAACGAGTTCAAACAGGAGAGTCACAAACGCGCATCACAGGTAGGTGAGTGTATATATGGTTATATTGCCCAGCTCAGGTTTTATCACACTCACCTGCCCTGCCGAGTGCCATTTATTAACACTCTCTCTAGTTTTGTTGTTAGTCAGTTTCCCGGCTGAAATGACTTGGTGTCAGTCTATCAGCCAGCAATTGAACTCCTGACCCTGCTGTCTCAAAAGCACCATATTATTATTCCACACAACCACACTGGGAATGGGAATTGATGTGATACCACAGTTTGATATGCTGAAAGAAAGTTAAAGCTGACATGAACGTGAGTGATATTTAAGCTTTAAATGTGTCACGATTTCTCCATGTAAAGAGCAGAGCGAAGCAGGGACATCTAGAGGTGAACTGTGGTTACTACACGTGATCGGACAGGCTGGTGCTCTTCAAGAGTGGTGAAGTGCAGCGGTTATTAATGCCATTTCATTTATTATGGCTCCCCACATCTGCTTCTAGAACATTGGTGATATTTCAAGCAAATAATAGACCAAGCTCAGAATTGCATTTTTGTGTTATTTACAAATGCCAGCAGGCAAAGGATGAGATTATGAGCACTGAACTGAATGTGTTTTGACAGACTCTGAGCGCTGTGTTGTGTGTGTTTGTACGGCAGTGTTGTAATTTCAAAAGCTGTCAGTCAGCAATATCACTGTCAGTTTTTGCCAGTTTGTTGTATAAACAAGCTTAGGTCTAAAATACTTGGATGCAAGCATTAATGTCCAATAAACAATGAGGATTTGGTGCAAATGGTGCTGATGATGCGCTCAGTGTCCAGACGGACCCAGAACGACGTGTTTAAAGCTTTTTGTCCGATGAACATTGATCTTTGCACCACTGAAATCAGTGTATTTATAGACCCCGTTGAAGCCAGTCGTGCATTTACTGACTTCAGTGGACATATTCAATTAAGAGAGAACAGATTAAGTTTTTGAATGTGTGCTCTGACATTTTTTGAAAGGTATCTGGAATGATATTTAACCTTCTGTTGCATGCATTATGGGGAAAAACTTAGATTTTAATGGTAAAGAAAATCTGGTTGAGTTTTAATGCATAAGCAAAGCTATGTTTGAATTAAGATGACTGTAAAAAAAAAAGTAAAGTAAATGCTGAAAATAATTAATATGGATAAATGGATAACTGCAATATACTGCAATATAAGTGCAACTGCAATATATATATATATATATATATATATATTAGGGCTGTGCAAAAGTTAATTGCGATTAATCGCATCCAAAATAAAAGTCTGTGTTTACATAGTATATTTGTGTGTGCTGTAATTATTTTGTATATATAAATACACACACATGCATGTATATGTTTAAGAAAATGTGTTATTCCTATATAAAATATTTATATTTATATAATATAGATTATGTATTTATATATATATACAGAATTTAAGCGCAAATAATTCTTAAATATATACATGCATGCATAGGTATTTATATATACAAAATAATTATATACAGCACACTCAAATATATTATGTAAAACAGACTTTTATTTTGGATGCGATTAATCGCAATTAACTTTTGCACAGCCCTAATATATATATATATATATATATATATATATATATATATATATAAAATTATTATTATCTAAAATTTATTTAGAAATAATAATTTAGGAGGGAGTGCTGTGATATATTTGATACTTTTTCAATACATGATTGAAATGTACCTAAAATGATATTCAACATCTGTTGCAAAAAAAATGGTTTAAAAATGTTTTCATGCATAAGAAATGCAATATTTGAATTATGAAGACTTAAAAAAGTAAAGTAAATACTGAAAAAATATTTGCTATGGATAAATGGATCATTTAAAAATATAAACAAATATGTTACAATAATAAAAAAAATGATAACTGCAATATTCTTCAACAAAATATTAATTTAGGAGAAAATGCTGTGTGTTATTTTACACTTTTTTTAAACTAAATTATTTAAAAGTATCTAGAATGATATTTAACCCATCATATCCGAATATGTTTGATTCAGTTTTCATACTTTGGGGAATTGGGAGGACTTTTTAATGCAAAGTAAATACTGACAAATAATAAATATGGATAGTTTAAAATATAAATAATTAAATAAAAACATGATAACGGCAATATTCTTCAACAAACATATTAATTTAGGAGAGTGTGTTATTTGACACTTTTTGCACTAAATTGTTTATGGATCTTGCATGAATCATAAAAATGTTTGATTTAGTTATTTTTTTGGGAACTGTGAGGACTTTCAATAAAGAAATACCGAAAAATAATTAGCATCGGTAAATGGATAATTAAATTTCTTTTTTAAATGTATATAAAAAACACATATTCTTATAGTGGCTGAATCCGTATCCGTTCCACTCCCACACAATGCTGCTTCAAGCCTACACACACATTTCCTCATGACAAATATATGACTAAATGCTTTCAAAAAAGGGTTTACTCACTAACAAATGTGAATCATATTCTGGATGAAGGAATAAAGCTTTAATGAGGGCAGATCTCCAGAGCTCAGATGCTTCCTCCGCATGGAGAACAGTGCCAGATAAAGACTTTTCACTGCCAGTGGGACAAAGAAACACTTTTTGTTGCTTTATTCAAAACCCTCCCTTCAATATTAACCATTTTATTGCCAACGTATGGGCTCGCAACGCGTATAAAACACACGTGTCCCCCTTAGACATCATGCAGTAGAGGGTTTTTGTATTATTTGTGCATAATAAACATCAGACCGCTTTTGCGATGCCCATTTGGGGAGCTCCGCTGTTCTGGTGGAGTCACGGCTTGTGTTTTCTGGCACTGTGCGGTGTTAAAGCAATCACCACTGGTCTGATTAGTCAGCTTAATGATCTAGTTAATGACCCGGACCTTATGAGTGAGTTGTAGCGGTTACGGAAGAAAGTTTCATGCAAGCGCTCGTTCAATGACATCACAATGAAACTTAATCTGTAGACGCCATCTTTTATATAAAACAAGGCTTTGATAGGCAGAGACGTACAGTACAGAAATGATGCACAAAATAAATGTAATTTGCCTCACAGCATTGTTTTAATTCACTTCAAGTGACTTCCAGACCGGTAAGAGTGACATCCTTTTCGACCACCTTCTCTAGACCGGTATCCTCTTAAATGGCCTTTTTAGGGGGCTTTCCTCTTTGGGCGAATGAGAGGATGCTTAAGAAAGGAGTGGTTCACTTTAAAAAAAAAATTTGCTGATAATTTCATGTCATCCAAGATGTCCACGTCTGTCTTTCTTCAGTCGAAAAGAAATTAAGGTTTTTGATGAAAACATTCCAGGATTTTCTCCATATAATGGACTTCAATGGGGTCCAAGCGGTTCAAGGTCCAAATGAGAGTTTCAGTGCAGCTTCAAAGGGCTTTAAACGACACCAGACGATGAATAAGGGTCTTATCAAGGACCCTTCGAGTCATGACTCGAAAAAAGATTCGAACAGGAGAGTCGCGAACTAGCATCACAGAACAGAGCAAGGCGAGCATTTGAGCTTATAAAACTTAAATTTTGTTATTTATTCTTTAAATGAGCGATCGTTTCGCTAGATAAGACACTTTTTCATCGTCTGGAATCGTTTAAAGCACTTTGAAGCTGCACTGAAACTCTCATTTGGACCTTGAACCGTTTGGACCCCATTGAAGTCCATTATATGGAGAAAAATCGTGGAATGTTTTCATCAAAAACCTTCATTTCTTTTCGACTGAAGAAAGAATGACATGGACATCTTGGATGACATGGGGGCGAGTAAATTATCAGCAAATGTTTTTTTTTTTTTTTTTTTTAAGTGAACTACTCCTTTAACTGCTTTTTACCTGACATCTTTGATAGACAGATGCAATGATGACCAGGATATAATTATAAAATATGACATGATTTTAAAAGTGACCTATTTTAAGCCTATTTGGAGAGAGGGATGTTTGTAATGTGATAATATGTCAGTCATCGTGTGATAACGAAAATATGACTAGGTCTAGACTACTTGTTTTGAGCAGGTGTTGTCAGGCTGTTGGCTAAGTTGCAGACACTCATGAAAACTGATGCTAATTATCTGGGAATCATTGTTTGTGTCAAACATTTTTTATAACAGGAGATCGTGAATTATCTTGAATCTTACCCAGAGACAATAGTGCTATTTTCTGATTGGCTATTGAATAACAGCCTTCTTATTTTTGATTGGCTGATAAGACGTGCTTGATGAGAGCGACGCGGCCAGAGACATTTTGGGGGGCTGCGGCATATTAAATATAAGTTTTTCCACATTTTTCAAGAAATACATTGTGTGGCATGAGTGCTTGACAAAAGACCGAAATGGGTGACACTTGAGAGCCAATTCTCTTCTTTTTCCTAGATGCAAGATAGATGAGGAGGTCACTCACAAGGCATGGTTGAACCGCTCCAACATCTTATTCACGGGCACAGATAAGTGGTCCCTGGATCCCCGCGTCTCCCTGGTGAACAACAACAACAGCGACTTCTCCATTAAGATAGAGAGAGTGATGGTGGCCGACGAGGGACCCTACGCGTGCAGCATCCAGGCCAGAAACCAGCCTTGGACGGCCCACGTCTACCTCACCGTGCAGGGTACGTTCATCAGGTCGATTAAACCATTAAAATATGGGGGAAATATTTTAAAACAAAATTTTAAACTTGTTTTTTATCTGGCAGAATTATTTGGGAAAACTACACGTAGGCCAGTGGTTTTATTTTACTGTGCAGAAAAGTGGAAAAACAAACAAATCACAGAAATAGCATATAATATAATCAGTTATTAACATTTCGTTGGTTCTCTCTTTTTTATAATTTCTTTGTATGAGTGCCTAGGCAAAAATTATGATGGCAAAATTTGTCATGTTTCACAAAATATTTCTTTCATCATATTTGGCTAAATGTGAGGTTTCCTATAATAGGCCTCATGTTTGGCCACTGCTGTACGTGTCAACAATGAACACACACACATATGAATGGTTTCTAAAAAGGTTTAGGAATAAAGTAGCTGGCAGAAATGTGTGTAAAATTGTGTGATCAGTGTTTCTATGGAAGTCTGTAGAATTAAAAAAAACTTTACATCTCACAGTTCTGACTTCATTTAGTTTGTATTAATCACACTTGTGACTAGTTTATAGTACTTTATATCACACAATGCAATTTCATATCTCACAAAAATAATTCACAGTGCAAATTTAAATATCACAATATAACATTATATCTTTAAATATCGACACTGTATCTAAGCAACTTTAAAAGTTTGGGCTCAGTACGTTTTTTTTTTTTTTTTTTTTTAATGTTTTGAATGAAGTCTCTTCTGCTCACCAAGGCTGAGTTCATGTTAATTTGATCATAAAATACAGTAAAATTGTGAAAAGTTATTAAAATTTAGAAAAACTGTTTTCTATGTGAATATATGTTAAAAAAATATTTTATTTCTGTGATCAAAGCTGAATTTTCAGTCTTCAGTGTCGCATGATCCCTCAGAAATCACTCTAACATGATGATTTGTTGCTCAAGAAACATTTATGATTATTATTAATGTTGAAAACAGTCATATATTTGTGGAAACTGATCATTTGTTTTTCTTTTCATGATTTTTTGATGAATATAACGTTCAAAAGAACAGCATTTATTTGACATAAATATTTTTGCAAAGTTATAAATGTCTGTACTGTGACTTTTGATTTACATTTAATCATTTAGCAGACGCTTTTGTCTAAAATGACTTTAATAGAAGTAGCTGAACCAACAAAAGAGCAACAGTATATACAGTAAATCCCAATACATGTAACATATATCAATTTAATGCATTCTCACTCAATAAATGTATATATTTTTTTAAATGTTTAAACTTTCTGACCACAAACTTTTTAACAATTCACAGTTGCAAATAATAATAATAATAATAATAATACGAATTGTGAGATATAAAGTCACATTTACTTTTTTAAAAAAAATTTGTATTCTTTGCTTCCATAGATTTCTGTCCATCCAAAAGAAAAACAATATAAATGAGACATGCATTGGAACAGACCCTTCTCCTCATGAATATCTAGTTCTTTTGCTTCTCTGAGTTTGTCAGACAAACTTTTCTTCTCTGAGTTTGAAAATGTGTGTATTACTAATGCAATCTGGACGTACTACATCCGCCATGTCGTCATTATCGTGTGATCTACAGTGTCAGTTCACTGTTATTCATAAAACCTCTCCTGTGGCCTCATGGGATAGTAAAGATGATGTACTGTTGCCTCCTCCCCATAAAGTACTGTGAATTTGGACATACTTCTTTTTTCACCTACTATATAGTAGAAGTATGCGATTTCGGATGCAACCATTTTCCATCTGATTCATGCAGGTCTTTATCATCGATTGCGAAGATGCTGTACTATATCAGAATATGTACAACAGCGCCCCCTACCTTATAACAGTGAAATCACGGATTGCCAGAAAAAGTTGGTGGGAAGCGTGTCATAAATGATGTAAAATTTCATCAGTAGCGGGGAAAGAGTTAATGGCAGTAGTGAGAAAAGCAGAGGGCTTGACACAGATGTAATGAGCATCAGAGGGGTGGTTATGCTTTCTAATCTTCAGGATGACCGGCCGTGAGAGGCGGGAACGGGTTGTGCCGACTGTCACGTCAACAGAAACATGAGTAAGAGTCCCGGCGATCCTGACTGACGTGATTTATTGGCAGCAAACCCTTCCTCTGATGGATTGCCTGCATCTCTCCCTTTCCTTCCTCCCCAACCCAACCCCGCCGGCTGAAAGTTGTCAATTGTTATGTATATCACACCATGGTGCATTTTCCTGTGGCACAAGCACGATATTGGAAAAAAAACATTGAGTTTTTCTGGCGATATATATATATAGCGATATTTGGAAAGAATGATTAGGGTGATTTTGTTGGGGAGTGAATTTATGGATTGTTTCTGCCATGGAAACAAAAATTAGAATAACTGCGACTAAGTCATAATTGTGAGCCATAAACTCATAATTGCGAGAGAAAAAAGTCAGAATTGTGAGTTGCAACTTCCTGAAAAGTTAAACATTTATTTCTCAAGTGTGAATTCCTTTAAGGATGAATAATTTGGGAGAAACCTGAAAAATGTGTGTGTTCATAATTTACCGTGGACCAACTCAAACCATAAAGTGAAATGAGTTTTTTCATGTGTGTTTTCATAGGCCACATTCACACTGTTTTTGACCAATTCAATATGACTATGTAATTATTATTATTATGATTTTATTGTAATAATTATTATTAAATAAAGTGAATTAAATAATAATATAGTAATAGTAATAAAGTCAAATGTTTACTAAAAATACTATTTGACTGTAACTAAAAATAGAATTATTAACATTTTAGAATAGGGTCTAATATTACAACTTTTGCCTCGATAAACTCCTAATTACTGCTTTTTAATAGTTAGTAAGGTGAAATAGAATTAAGGGTAGAATATCATGTAAAATAAGGCATTAATATCTGCTGGAGTAGTTTACTTTTAAATACATTTTTGCTGATAATTTACTCACCCCCATGTCATCCAAGATGTCCATGTCTTTCTTTCTTCAGTGGAAAAAGAAATGAAGGTTTTTAATGAAAACATTCCAGGATTTTCTCCATATAATGGACTTCAATGGGGTCCAAACGGTTCAAGGTCCAGATGAGAGTTTCAGTGCAGCTTCAAAGGGCTTTAAACAACACCAGACGATGAATAAGGGTCTTATCTAGCGAAACGAGCGGTCATTTCAAAAATAAATAACAAAAGTTGAAGTTTTATAAGCACAAATGCTCGCCTTGCTCTGTTCTGTGATGCGCGTTCGTGACTCTCCTGTTCGAACTCGTTCATCAAAATGAACAAATCTTTTTTCGAGTCATGACTCGAAGGGTCCTAGAAAGCCCTTTGAAGCTGCACTGAAACTCTCATTTGGACCTTGAACCGTTTGGACCCCATTGAAGTCCATTATATGAATGTTTTCATCAAAAACCTTAATTTCTTTTCGACTGAAGAAAGAATGACATGGACATCTTGGATGACATGGGGGTGAGTAAATTATCAGCAAAAGTTTTTTTTAAAGTGAACTAATCCTTTAAGTACTAATGAACAGCCAATATCCTAGTTAAACGCCTGCTAATAAGCAACTAGTTAATAGTGACAATTGGACCCTAATCTAAAGTGTACCAAAATTACAATACTAATAATTTACATCTTAATTTTTCAAACGGCTTATCAAGCTTTTATTTTAATGGCTTGCCGGCAAATAAATAAGCTCACTAGTTCATAATCACGCGTGTATCTCACAGTAAATGAACCAAGCCAAGACTGAAACACTGAATCATGCATTACTGAAACTAAACGTAAATGACGTTCAGCCCTATAATAAAGTGAAGAATATTTCATAGAAAGCTACTCGGAAAAGCAGGGTGAGCGTGTTCAAAATGCATCTCAAGCACGCTGTTGGCCGACCGCGAGGCCAGAACCATCTCTCCAAACACAGGCTTTTTTATCTGCCACACGGAGCTTTGCAGACAGATGACCGTATTTGCTCGATACCATTGTGCCCTCAATTTTAGTCTTAGTGCGATATGAGCAAAAATAATTACACCCCCCAGTCACTCCTCCAACAGGAAAGATCTGCTCTGGGTCCAATCTTAAGTCTATCGTCGGACGTATTTCGCCCTGTTAGAAAGTGAAAAATGGTCCGCTTGAGAATGCCTCGCAGGCCAAATCTTTGGCCATCTTCATTAAAGCTCTGATCATAGGCCATTTAAATTCAAGGACCGGCTCATTATCCGTCCGGCATTATGCATTGCCCTCTGCTTCGGGAATTTAGTCCAAAACAGCTGATTGAAATCATTTATAAACCCTGAAACAAACAACCCGTCTCCAGTAAATTTATTCGGCTTGTTTTTTTGTTTTGTTTTTTAACTAAGGTTCATTTTTGACATCAGTTAAGCCGTGATATAGTCACTTCGTTTTCATTAATCATAATTAAAAACTTGTGTTTTGCAGTGCCGGCCCGGATAGTGAACATCTCGCAGGATAAGTCGGTGAATGAAGGCGATGACGTGAACCTCTTTTGCCTGGCGGTCGGCAAACCAGAGCCCACTGTGACCTGGAAGGACTTCAGATGTGAGTATTTCTGGTCAAGGTCAAGTTCACCCAAAAAAGAAAAATCTGTCATTATTTACTCACCATAAAGTTCTTCTAAACCGGTATGATTTTCTATCTTCTGCTGAACTCAAAAGACGATATTTTGAAGAATATCAGTAACCGAGCAGTTGATGGACCCCATTGACATCCAAAGTATTTGTTCCATAGTCAATTGTTTAGTTACCAACCTTCTTAAAATGATCGTCTTTTGTGTTAAGAAGAAAGAAAATCATACCGGTTTGGCACAACTTTTGAATTATCATTTTTGGGTGATCTGTCCCTTAAAAGGAATAGTTCACTTTAAAAAAAAAAAAAACTTTTGCTGATAATTTACTCGCCCCCATGTCATCCAAGATGTCCATGTCTTTCTTTCTTCAGTCGAAAAGAAATTAAAGTTTTTGATGAAAACATTCCAGGATTTTCTCCATTTAATGGACTTCAATGGGGTCCAAATGGTTCAAGGACAAAATGAGAGTTTCAGTGCAAACTGTTCAAAGGGCTTTAAACGACACCAGACGATGAATAAGGGTCTTATCTAGGACCCTTCGAGTCATGACTCGAAAAAAGATTTGTTCATTTTGATGAACGAGTTCGAACAGGAGAGTCATGAACGCGCATCATAAAACAGAGCAAGGCGAGAATTTGTGCTTTTAAAACTTAAACTTTGTTATTTATTTTTGAAATGACCGCTCATTTCGCTTGATAAGACCCTTATTCATCGTTTGGTGTCGTTTAAAGCCCTTTGAAGCTGCACTGAAACTCTCATTTGGACCTTGAACCATTTGGACCCCATTGACGTCCATTATATGGAGAAAATCCTGGAATGTTTTGATTTTTTTTCCACTGAAGAAAGAAAGACATGGACATTTTGGATGACATGTGGGTGAGTAAATTATCAGCAAAAGTTTTTTTTAAAGTGAACTACTCCTTTAAGCGCATTGCATTGTGGGATACTGTTTACTCGGCTTATGTCTAAACATATTATTTTTGTGGATATATGTGTAATTGTCTTGAAATTATATTTTTTATTGGTCCTTAAAATGCTACAAATATGGACATTCTACATAAAAATTTTGCTTGTCATTTTTGTAGCAAGTATATTTCCACATTTTTTTTCAATCCAACAATATTATTTTAAAACCAAAGTGTGTTCTTGTTGTGCACTACACATTTTGACTAATGTTGCATAAAATATGCACGCAGTATACCTCGGAAATACTGAAGCGGCATGCCATTATGAATGTAGTCTTAGTGATTTTCAGCTCAGATTTCATTATAGATAATTACAGCCACAACCAGGGTGATAATTGTCAACATGTGCCATCATCCTCTTTGTCACCATTATCGCTCTGCCACAATATTAATAATTATGGTTATCATTAACACGCTATTTATATCTTTCAATACCGTTGATATTAGCTGCATTCATTTGGAGTGGCCGTGATGAAACGCATTACAGGACCTGCATTTTTGTTGAATCTTTTCACGATATGATTACAGGACATGGTAGGGATCACCATTTACCGTCATTTATGTTCCAACTGAGTCTCAAGAGTCGCTCTGCCTGTAAACGGAGCAGATTCAGTGAATAGACCAGCTGAGCTCATACTAAACCTCTAGTGTGTTTACACACTGAAGTGATCCGGTCACAAATGGTCAGAAGTCTCAAATCCGTCCAGTTATGAATCATCAAGTGGAGGGTCTTTGATTTCATGTCTATGTTAGTCTTGAGAACATGCATGTTTCATATTTTTACTCCAAAATAAAATTCAGTTACATTCATCATACCCATGACCGTGGCATTGCTAGCATCATCGTTTATCAGTTACAGACACATTAAAGAAAATGTCAATGTAACTTCTCATTACAGTATTGCAAAATCTATACCATAATATTGGGATAGTTCACTTTGAAATTAATTTTTGATATGTTTTATCTTACCTCAAGGACATCCAAGATGCAGGTGTCTTTGTTTCCGTTATTTTTAGGTCAAACAGTCATATAATGGAGGTCTATGGTCACCACCTCAAAGAGCATGCACAGAGAAGTCCAAATTAAACAAGATTTAATGACTCGTAAATGAAAGTACACATTGATGGCCTAAGACACGAAACGAGCGGTTTGTGTGAGAAAACGAACTGTATTTATATCATTTTTACCTTTTGTGCGCCTGCGCCCTCAGATCACTTGGACGTGGCTGCAGTTACAAAAGGTAAAAACGATATAAATACTGTTCGTTTTCTCACACAAACCGCTCGTTTCGTGTCTTAGGCCATCAATGTGTACTTGGTCATTAAATCATGTTTAATTTGGACTTCTCTGTGCATGCTCTTTGAGGTGGTGACCATACACCTCCATTATATGACTGACAGACAAGAACGGTTTGACCTAAAAATATCAAAATTGAAAATACTGTGGAAACAAAGACACCTACATCTTGGATGCCCTTGAGGTAAGCTAAAACATACCAAAAAATAATTTCAAAGTGAACTATCCCTTTAAACGTATATAATATGATTGTATCACTCAATTGGTTTAAAATATTAAATATTCTAAAATTGGGAATGTATTTTTTTTTTAAACATATCATATTATTTTATATTGCATATATATATATTTTTCCCCATCGCATCAGCAAAAATTACCACATATACCGTTATCAAGATATGAAATTACTCCTACTCTGCATAAAATGGGAGTCACAGCTCCTGTGGTGCTTGTCTGCAGATCTCTCGGTCTGTGCTTTTCCCCACTCAGCACTTCCTCCACACCTCATAACCCACCGGCACGGCAGGAATAAAGAGAGGGGCGGAAAGCGCCACAGAAAGAGCCACATTGTTATTCAGTGCGAGTCACTGCGGTGGAGCTATTGGTTGCCAGCAGCAGGGCGAGAAATTGGGCGTGTAGATTAGGCCAGAGAAACAGAAAGCCATCTGGACCTGTACATCACACTGTAGGCAAGCAGACAGGACGCGATGACATCACAATCACTGACAGAAGACACGCCCACTCTGTCGAAACACTGTAACCAGGAGCTTACATCGCACACGGATTGAAGCCAACAAGGTCGGTTTCATTCATTAGACTGACCACCCACACACAATCTGTCCAGTACATTTGATCTAGCTGTACACCACAGTGTTTAATGAGTGCAAGCTAAATTATAAAATCACTCATGAAATTGTGAAGGGCGACATAGTGATTAGCATACACTCTTAAAGTCCACATGAAACAGTCAGAAACCAAGAAGTGGGAGAACTTGCAAAATACAGTAATATATTGTTGGCTTATATATATAATATATATATTATATTATTATTAGGGCTGTCAAACGATTAATCGCGATTAATCGCATCCAAAATAAAAGTTTGTGTTTACATAATATATGTGGGTGCACCATGTATAATTATTTTATATTTATAAATACACACACATTCTTGTATATATTTAAGAAATTTTCATGTATATAGATTTATATATAATTTATATTATACATAAATATAAATATTTTATATATAAATAATATTTTTTTCTTAAATATACATGCATGTGTGTGTATTTATATGTATACAAAATAATTATACACGGTGCACCCACATATATTATGTAAACACAAACTTTTATTTTGGATGCGATTAATCGCGATTAATCGTTTGACAGCCCTAATTATTATATATATTATATATACAGTAAATATTGTTGGTTTAACTTAAAAAAGTAAGTAACCTGGTTGCCTTAAAATTTTGAGTTCATTGAACTGGAAAAAGTAAGTTAATACAATGAAGGAGATTAATTTAATCATCAGAAACTCAAAATTATATGTTATCTGAACTAAATAAATTATTTAAGTTGATTTGACAAAAGAAAAAAATGTTGTGATTACTACACTGTAAAAAAATATTGTTGGTTTAACTTCAAAAAGTAAGTAACCTGGGTTGCCTTAAAATTTTAAGTTTGATTGAACTGAAAAAAGGGAGTTAATACAATGAAGGAGATTAATTTAATCACCAGAAACTCAAAATAATAAGTTATCTCAACTAAATAAATTATTATAAAGTAATTCTTGAAAATATTTTTACTTATTTTCCTCACTGTATATCACAATGTGGTTATTTTTGCTGAACAGTCAATGGGAACATTTTTTTTTATAAATGCAATAATATATTAAATAATATACTTTTTTATTTTTGACATCATTTGCAGCATGCAAACAGGAAAAAAAAATAGTTTCTGAAATGATTACAGTAAGGTACGGTATTATTACATATGGCAGCGTGAGACATATTTTAGTTTTTTTATTTGTATTATTATTTAACATGGATCCAGATCCAGTAGGAATCCCTGTTTGATTCCATCTAGCCGTTTAAATGTGATTTTAAAGCTGATTTTGTCGTTTCGCTGACATTTTCCAGCTGTAGCTTGGGCAAAAATGCGTCAGGCCGCATGGGAATGTGCATATCACAGCTCTGAGAAATAAATACAAATAGCGTCTCAGCTCGAAGTGTGTGAGACATACTAGTCTTTTACCTGTAAACCTTTTTTTGTCAAGATAAGATTATTTTTTCCTCCCCAGCGGGTTGAAAGAGGTGCTCAGACGACCTGAAGAAGATCTCACAGGGGAACCTTATTTATTACGCTAAAGGAATGAGTGAATAACGTTGTTGTAAACCCCAGCGTGTGCTCAGTCGGGTGGCATCGGCAGCTGCAAATAATCCTCTCCAGTTCAGTAGCTGTGCTAATAATCCCCCGGAATAATCTTCAATTAGAAAAGGTGCCGAATTTGTGGCATAAAGTCCCGGTGGTTGTGAATTAATAGGTGTGCGGTCGCCTTTGTGTTTGGCTGAAGCCATGAGACTACTAAGACGTGGATTATTCTGGTTGACACCGAGATTTTTGTGTGGCGTTCTGCAGTCTGACTGTTGTAGTTGAAAAAGAACAAAGTATGCCTGCACGTATCCGTTCTCGCTGTCATTGTTGTACTAATAACATCCACTTTCATCACACAGAGGCAAATCCACAGTGCTCCTGTAACTAAAGATGAACTGTTGTCGTCTGTTTCGTCTCGTTAAAGGAAAAGAAGTGCCTTAGAGATGCGAGAAAGTCTTTTTGTAGTTCACAATGGCCGGTAAATAAAGCTCAGTGATGCATTACCTAACACACGTTCTGTGATGTTTATCTGAGGGCGACGCAGACACGAGTTTCTTATCAAAGCCTTTCAGTTTATTCCACGGACCGTTTGTCACTCGCCTCCTCCTCTCGTTGCTCTTGTTAAATAAATACATTTCATTTTGTTGAAATTAATTTTAATCAAGGTGAAGTGTGCCATTTCTGCTCCACTAGAAGCACCAAACAGAATTGCAAACATAACTAGAAAAGAAAAGGTGTGAAGGTTCTATAAGGTCTGTGGAGTTTGAAGAATTGAGATATGGTTGTAATCTTGTGTGCAGTTGATAGTTGTTAAAGGTGCTGTATGTAATTTTATTTTCACTGTACTATTGCATAAATACCACCATACTACAAAAAACATCTGTTCGCAGGTATTTCAGTAGCACCTCATTGCAGTACATGAGATCCAGGGGGTGGAGTTGGATCCAGATCTAAGGGGTGGAGATGAGTAGGATTAGGGGTGGGGTTAGGGTCAGGGTCAGGGGGCGGAGATGGGTAGGATTAGGGGTGGGGTTAGGGATCAGAGGGCGGAGATGGGTAGGATTAGGGGTGGGGTTAGGTATAGGGGTGGAGATGGGTAGGATTAGGGGTGGGGTTAGGGATCAGAGGGCGGAGATGGGTAGGATTAGGGGTGGGGTTAGGTATAGGGGTGGAGATGGGTAGGATTAAGGCTGGGGTTAGGGATCAGGGGCAGAGATAGTTAGGATTAGGGGTGGGGTTTGGGATCAGGGGGCGGAGATGGGTAGGATTAGGGGTGGGGTTAGGGGTCGGGGTGGAGATATGTAGGATTGGGGTGGGGTTTTGGATCAGGGGAGGAGATGGGTAGGATTAGGGATCTCATGGGCGGAGATGGGTAGGATTAGGGGTGGGGTTAGGGATCAGGGGGTGGAGATGGGTAGGATTAGGGGTGGGGTTTTGGATCAGGGGTGGAGATGGGTAGGATTAGGGATCTCATGGGCGGAGATGGGTAGGATTAGGGTGGGGTTAGGGATCAGGGGGCGGAGATGGGTAGGATTAGGGGTGGGGTTAGGATAGGGGTGGAGATGGGTAGGATTAAGGGGTGGGGTTAGGGATCAGGGGCGGAGATGGTTAGGATTAAGGCTGGGGTTAGGGATAGGGGTGGAGATGGGTAGGATTAAGGCTGGGGTTAGGGATCAGGGGCAGAGATAGTTAGGATTAGGGGTGGGTTTAGGGGTCGGGGGTGGAGATATGTAGGATTGGGGTGGGGTTTTGGATCAGGGGTGGAGATGGGTAGGATTAGGGATCTCATGGGCGGAGATGGGTAGGATTAGGGGTGGGGTTAGGGATCAGGGGGTGGAGATGGGTAGGATTAGGGTGGGGTTTTGGATCAGGGGTGGAGATGTGTAGGATTAGGGATCTCATGGGCGGAGATGGGAGGGTTAGGGGTGGGGTTAGGGATCTCATAGGCGGAGATGGGTAGGATTAGGGGTGGGGTTAGGGATCAGGGGTGGAGATATGTAGGATTAGGGGTGGGGTTAGGGATCAGGGGTGGAGATATGTAGGATTAGGGGTGGGGTTAGGGATCAGGGGTGGAGATATGTAGGATTAGGGGTGGGGTTAGCGATCAGGGGGCGGAGATGGGTAGGTTTAGGGGTGGGGTTAGGGATCAGGGTGGAGATGGGAAGGATTTGAGGTGGGGTTAGGGATCAGGGGGCGGAGATGGGTAGGATTAGGGGTGGGGTTAGGGATCAGGGGGTGGAGATGGGTAGGATTAGGGGTGGAGTTAGGGATCAGACAGTTGATGGATTCCACTGACTTCCATAGTAGATAAAAAAAAATACTATGGATGTCTATGGGGTCCATCTATTCCTTTAAGGTATTGTGAGAGTATAGTAGCGATCTGGATTGTATGCTTTTGTATGTATAAACAATTAATGCTTCTGGACACATCTGAAACTGATCACTTTTTTGAGTCAATTGGCCCAATACTTACATATGGGGGATGATGTATGTCATGTATGTGTTGAAACAAAATGTGACATTTTGTAAGCTTGCCTCATCTCCACAGCAAACCCTGTTCACCTTGAACACTGTTGAAATAAACTTGTAGTGGTTGGGTGAAATGGTTAAATCGTTTAGTCATTTTAGAGAACGTAGAGTAGTGGTTAAAGAGCCGGGTTCATATCGGTGAATTCCCATCTTACCATTGCACTCCAGGGCAAGACATTCAACAGCTGGTTTCTCCAGGAGAACCGTCCCTTGTGGTCCGCCGACCGAGAGAAAGTCGTTCTCCCTCCTCCATGTCCTCTAGCCTTTCTTTGTTTAATATGACAGTGCGGAACAATGACCCCAGTGCGCCTGCTTTTAAAACACACTCCCAATTACACTCACGTATGACATTGTGTGCCATGGTGGCGTGTATTCAATCACCTTCTCGTCTTTTGTCTTCACAGACGGTCTCATGAGCGAGGGCGAATTCTTGGAAATCACAGAAATCAAGCGGCATCAAGCGGAGGATTTTGAATGCATCACCAACAACGGTGTGGCGCCGCCAGACACACGCCGAGTCAAGGTCACAGTCAACTGTAAGTCGAGTCGTCAGAAACACACATTACATCCTAATGAGATTGTTGAGACTGTTCCAGAACACTCCGTGATGCTGTAATGGAAACATAAATTGAATTGCTGTCAGGCTGTAGAATTAAGCTCTATCTTTTCATCATCTCTTCTCATCTCCATGGGGTTGTAAAGAACTTGAGTAAAAATACTTCATTACTTAGTGTCATTAGCACTGGTTGTTCAGACCTCCGATCTGAAAAAGCCTCAAGACTCAAGTGGGAGTATAGAGAGTGTAGAAAACAACCAATAAACATATGGATCTACAACACACTCATTATACAGAATGAGCGGAGAAACAATGTATTTCACTCCAAAATATTTGTATTGGTTTTCAGTGAAGGTACTGAATAGGTCATCCTAAAAAACAGAAGAGCATAAAAGAGCATGCCCACCCTCCCATTTCTAATAACTCAAAAGAGGAAAAAATACAATAAATAAAATAAAATAATGTTTCTTTTTTATTATATATATATATATATATATATATATATATATTCTTAACAGGTGAAAATTATGTATCTATGTATAATTATCATGTATAATTATGTATATTTTTTAGGTTTTTTTCTTTTTTTTTATTGTTATTTTTAACATTAAAATGAGTTATGTTGATGGTTCCCCAGTGGCTAGAAATTTCAATCGGTGTAAACTGAGCTTTGGCTTTCTTTATTTTTCTCTATACTGTAACCAGATGGTGCTAATTTTCTTCAAAAAATATTTTTTTCTAAAGACCTAGACTCTATATTAAACTAAAATACTGCATTAATAAATTTGAAAAAAAAAATATATAGTGATATATATATATATTTATATGTATATAGTGATGTGAATAAGTTTGGACACCCATGCTAAAGTTGCCTAAAAAATCATCTTTTGGATATTGATCTTAATGCCTTAATTAGAAAAATGAGGAAAACTCCAACCTTTAAGGACACAAATTTTCTTTGTGAATGAATAATGTGTCAAAAATAAATTTTCCTCATTTTTTTAAATTAAGACATTAAGATCAATATCCAAAAGATTATTTTTTTATTCCTCTTTTTAGGCAACTTTAGCATTGGTGTCCAAACTTATTCACATCACTGTATATATGAAGAGTTCAGATGCAAAAGCCTCTAAATGCCATTTGAAATTTTCTTCTTTAATGATGATTTTTATCAAGCTTGTATATTTTAGTTCAGTGATTTTACTTAAATGGCAATGATAATTACCTATTAATTGTTATTTAAGTGAAATTACTGAACTTAAATATACAAGTTTGATAAAAATCATCATTAAAGAAGAAAATTTCAAATGGCATTTAGAGGCTTTTGCATCTGAACTCTTCATATATATATATAGAATATATATACTTCATATATATATATAGAATATATATATATATATTTTGTCCATGGCAAAAATAGACCATAAATATTGCATAAATATTAATAAATTCAATCAAATTGTCTCAAAATACTAAATTAAAAAGAATAAATATTATAGAACAAAAATAAATTGCATTGGTTTTTACTGGGATGGAGGAAGTTTCATTTTTAGGCCTCTGGTCACTTCTGACTGGGAAGGGCCAGGACGTGTCTCCTAAACGAAGACCATCAGAGGGTTAAGACGGATAGGCCAAGGTTATAGTAAAAGCAATGACTTTACGAACTCTGGCCGCCAAATCAGGCCGAGATGAGACCCCAAATAGGGCTATAAATGGGACCAGCTAACTTGATGTATTTTAAAAATATAACCCAATGACAAAAATCTCATGATTAGAGACTACTAACAAATATCGTGAACAAATCAAATAGGTTTTGATCAATTATTCTTTGCATTATAACTTTGAGCTGTTGGTCTTTAGATCCACCGACAATTACAGATGTAAAGAACATGCCTGCCCAGCTGGGGAAAACTGCGATTCTGCGCTGTGAAGCTATGGCGGTTCCTACCGCGTCCTTTGAATGGTACCGGGACGACCGAAGGTAAGCGAACGTTAACAAAGCGAGAGAAAGAGACACTGTGAACCATGGGAAGCAGCACGTGACTCTAAAGTGTGATCTTTCTTATTACTTCTTTCTCAGGCCGGTAGAAAATGATAACACGCTGAAGATTAAAAACGAGAAAACACGTTCCCTGCTGCTCTTCACCAACGTCACAGAAAAACACTTTGGCAACTACACCTGTTTCGCCTCCAACCGCCTCGGGGCTTCCAATGCCAGCATGTTACTCTTCAGTGAGTACGCTATTGCAGACACACTCGCACTCAAACATTCGCAAATCTACAAAGGCATAAAGTCAAGGATAAATAAACACCCTGCAGGAAGTGACTTTCCACTGTACGAAATAAACAAATGTACAATTCTCGCTCCCCGAGGCTAGTTTTCACTCGGAGCTCCTCCGATGTGTCCGTTGATGGTGCTTGAAAGCAAATGGTCTGGTACTGTAACTCAGCAAAGTGCATCATTTTCACCCTTTTTAATAATGCATAACTTGAACAAACTCCTGCTACAGCGTTAAGCATCTAAAAGGGTTTGTGACACTACAGCACAATTCCCATGCACAAGCTCGGAAGTGATTTTGATTGGGAATAACTGACTTTCATTTATTTTTCTCTTTTTTACTTATTGATTAAGCTCGTTTAGCACCAATACGTCAAAAACAATGTGCCTTAGGTGTGAGATAAGTGTCTCTATTCTATTTGAAAGGCTCCTTCAATAGGTTTACATGCATCCAAGGTCAATAAACACTTTAATTTTCTCATAATATACATTGCAGCAACAACTCACAGTTTCAAAGACGGTTCGATAAAGCATCTGGTCTGTCTAAACTCTTCCTTTCCGAGAGCCTGCTCTGCCCTGATTGGTCAGATGGCCCAGTCTGTCGTGATTGGTCGAGCACTTAAAGAGGTCCCTGAGGTCTGGATCGAGATGTATATAATAAAGGTTGTGAAATAATTGCCTAATATTGACTCTGTGCTGCACATCGGTGCTGCACAGATTTTGCACAATGCTAAAAAAGAAATATAGATGAATAATTAAAGGAGTAGGTTACTTTAAAAAAAACAACTTTTGCTGATAATTTACTCACCCCCATGTCATCCAAGATATCCATGTCATTCTTTCTTCAGTCGAAAAGAAATTAAATTCCAGGATTTTCTCTATATAATTGACTTCAATGGGGTCCAAACGGTCCAAATGAGAGTTTCAGTGCAGCTTCAAAGGGCTTTAAACGACACCAGACGATGAATAGGGGCCTTCCAGTCATGACTCAAAAAAAGATTCGTTCATTTTGAGTTTGAACAGGAGAGTCACGAACACGCATCACAGAACAGAGCAAGTTGAGCATTTGTGCTTATAAAACTTAATTTTTTTTATTTATTTTATAAATGGCCGCTCGTTTCGCTAGATAAGGCCTTTATTCATCGTCTGGTGTCATTTAAAGCCCTTTGAAGCTGCACTGAAACTCTCATTTGGACCTTGAACCGTTTGGACCCCATTGAAGTCCATTATATGGAGGAAATCCTGGAATGTTTTCATCAAAAACTTTAATTTCTTTTCGACTGAAGAAAGAAAGACATGGACATCTTGGATGACATGGGGGTGAGTAAATTATCAGCAAATCTTTTTTTTTAAAGTGAACTACTCCTTTAATAACGAATGTGCATGCATATGCACTCCCAAACAAGCCCAATAATTGAAGGAGACGCGCTGAATGAAAATGCACAAAACAATCACTTTAGATGGCTCTTTTGGAAGAAAAGAAATGCAGCTGTTGCTGAATAAACAAAGCAGCTGCGCTCATTTCTGTTTCTAAACAGCATTTAAATATTTCAAACAGCCAAACAAGCCCCCTAGCAAACTCTATATTGTGACCTCTGTGATTGTGAAACCACCCTTGTTTACAGCAGGGGTCAGAAACCAAACTCCTTTTAGCATGTCTGAGTTTCAGCTGATATTTTCTTTAGATATTTTTAGTGAGATTTGCAGTAAACAGCGTCTTCTCGACCAAAACTTCCAGTCTCAGTGTTTGCAGGTTCAGCAGAAAGTAAGACTGGAATTGCTGACGACTCATTTCAGGCAGTTCAAAATCGATCCTTTCTTTTAGGAGACAATAACTCCATTTATCTGCACTTTGATTTTTGAAACTTTGCAGACCTTTTACATTCACAAACATCTGTATTACACACAGCATGCAAGGGAATATCCGAAAAACCACAATAGCACTTTAACATTGTCATGCTACTACACTCTTAGAAAAGGTTCTATATAGAACCTTAAAAGGTTCTATCAGCGCTACATATTTGGAACCCCTAAAAGGTTCTATACAGAATCCATGTTAAGGCTTTAGGGTTCTTTGTAACCAGGAAAAAGGTTCTATATGGAACCTTTTGGGTTCATTCATTATCATTTGTTTTGTCCTTTCCGGATTAAATATTTCATATTATTGACAAACATCAATACCCTAAAATGTATTTATGAATGCATGTGAATGATCTCAAAATTCAAGATGAATGTATATATTTATATCATTTTAAAGTTAATCAATATCACAAAAAGAGTGCCATTTCAGTTTTTCTTCTCTTGATTAAAATGTGATATTAAGTTACTACAACAGTTTAATAAACAATAATTTACTTACAACTACAAAATGTTGCAGAATAATGTAATATATGAATGAATAATAGCCAATAAAGAACCTTTCTATCTTGTCATTATAGAATCATTTTTAGCATAAAAGGTCCTTTGGAGTTGAGTAAAGAACCCTATGCTTCATATATTCCCTTTTTTCTGAGAGTGTACCACAGAGAATTGTGGGAAATGTAGTTTTGTCACACATAAAGGCCAGTTTTATCTCACTAAATTGCACAACCAACACGTTTAAATGAACTATGAATGATTCTAACAAAACTTTGTTAAAGTTTGTTGTGCCCGAAGTGTTTGTTAACTGAATTAAATTTTGTTTTGTCCACTGCAGAACATCAGTGTCTTGTGTAATAGAGGATTCCTATAAAGCATGCACTGTTGTGGAAAATGTGCTTTGAGTGTTTACCGAAAGCTTTCGTTGTCTGACTGTAAATAGTTCCTGTCTTATACTGTAGCTCTGCTTTATTGAAGACAAACCTCAGGGATTTTTAAAAACCCAGGGCTGAATGAAACAACAAGGACACAGTAACAAATCAGATCAACTCTAGAGATTTCCTTGTACTGGCGAATTTTTCTCAGCAGTTTTCTACATTATATATATATATATTATTTTTTTATAGACAGGGAGACTATTTGGTTAGTGCACTAGAAGCATTCATCTAGTGATGAAAAAGGGAAAAGAAAGAAATGATATTGTCCATTTGCATTGGATGTTTTGCTTTTGAACTCCCATTATTCTCTATGGTGATTCTCATTACTGTAACACAATGCTTTTTCTATTTAAATGAGCATGAGTTGAAGAGAGAATAACAAATACTACCACTATGATAGCATTGGTTTTCTGATTTTTTCTGGTATTTCCAGGCAGACCTGCTGAAAACCATCAAACAAAACTAGCTTTAGCTGACAAGCAAACCCCATTAGTCTGTTTTGTTTTGTCATTATTGCAGGTGATAAAAAAACAAGCAAGGTTAAGAGTTACGCTTCTGTCTGCAGGCATAGGAAACAAACATAAAAAACAACTGGTTGTGAATATTTCATTCATTTACCCTCAGCATACAAAGATGCTTAATTCGCAGCAGCGGTTGACTGTTAGCTCCTGATTCCTCTTACATACTTAATGAGGAAATGTTTTCAAACGGTACTGTAAATCTATAGCCGAATGAACTACACAGAACATAAACAACCAATTAGCGAGGCAAGTGTGTCGGTTCTGCCATTGCAATTATTGCAGAAATTATTATCATTAGTGTTTCACGTTTTCCGTTCATACTTATTCCTCATTACTTTGTTAAAGGGATACTCCACTTTTTTTTTTTTTTTTTTTTTTTTTGGAAATAGGCTCATTTTACCACTCCCCCAGAGTTAAACAGTTGGGTTTTACCATTTTCGAATCCATTCAGCCGATTTTCTGATATTTAGAAGAATATCAGTAACCAGACATTTTCTGGTCTCATTGACTTCCATAGTAGGAAAAAAATATACTATGGAACTCAATGAGACCAGAAACTGTCTGCTTACTGATATTCTTTTAAATAACAAAAAATTGTTTCAATACATTCGAAAACGGTAAAACCCAACTGTTTAACTCTGGGGGAGTGGTAAAATGAGCCTATTTCCAAAAAAAAAAAAAAGTGGAGTATCCCTTTAAATCTGCTTTATGAAATGCTAAAATGCTATAAATGAACAAATCTTTCTCGGTTCTCCCTGAAACATACTTTATCATTTCACAAATTTCAGCAAGTAGCCACTATCCAGTGAGTTGCTTAATTGTTGAATTAAAATATTTAAGTTCCTCCTATTTGAGAAAGGCTTTTAAAGGCTCCCGATATCCATCTCTACACTGTAAAAAATAAACCGTAAATTTTACGGTAAAAAACCGGCAGCTGTGGTTGCCAGAACTTTACCGTTAAAAATACAGTAGGAACGTTAATAGTTTTACAGACCTAACTTAAAATTTACAGTAATAAGCCGTATTTTATTTTCTGATAAAATATTGATTTACCAACTTATTGATATCTGTTTTAGGCCATTGTAATACACTGACTACTATCAATCATCACAGCAGTGATGAGAGTTACTTGAGCAATCACAGCTCATCATAAGTGATTACTTATTTAAGTAATACTTATAGAAAGAAGCTGCACAGTGTCATTCACACAAACACACACATGAAATTAAAAAATGCAATAAACATTAATTTAACAACATTAAATGGAACATAAAACCCTAATGTACATAACTGATTAGAAAAAAACGATAAAACTATGAGGAACTATAGTTATTTCAACAAAAATACATCAAATGTGAAGTGTCACACAGGGAATTGTGGGAATGTCAATTTACGGTTTTTCACTGTAAATTATACAACGATTTGTTCTTTTTCACTTTCAAAAACGGTAAATTTACTGTAAAATTATATCACAGTTATTTACCGTATAAAGTACGGAAACTTTCTGTTAACCAAATAACAGTTTTGTACTGTAGCATTTTTACAGTCTTTTACTGTTAAAATCACGGATATTTTTTACAGTGTAGGTTCTGGTGATGAATGATGTCTCAGCTCTTTCTGAGAAGCAGCAGCTTCACTCGATTTCAGGGTCACGCTCTTTCTAGCCCTAAAGGACGACCTATGAAGGCGCTGTTAAACACAAAAACAAAAGCAGACCCAAGTTAACTCCTGTACGTAATAACATGGCATCAGAGTTTGACCGTGGTCTGGACCCAGCAGGCGCAGATCTCTCTGAGGCAGAGGAGGAGGAGGAACAGGTCACGGCAATGCCTTGGGATGGAGCCAAAACATTGTTGCATTGAGTGATTGAGAAAGATCTTTTTTGTTCCAATGTTGGTTTTCACGCACGGCTGCGTCTGATTTTGGCATAAACTCTCAAACTTCCCGTGTTTTTTTTTTTTTTTTTTTGCAAAGCTATTGTGGCTGTGTGTTATATTTTCTGCCTTTTCTTTCCAACCTTCTTGTTCATTCTCCGGCCCATTATGTCTCCTCTCCTCTGGTTTGTTCCCGCTCTGTTGTGTCCTGTTACCCAGAAGTCATCAGCAGATTCTCTCTCTCCATTCTTCACATTTCAGTCCCCAGTGAGTGATTCCTGTTCTGTTCGTGCCGTTTCCCCCTCATGCTTTACCATTGTAAGCAAGTCCTCCATCTCTCCCTCCACCGCCTCATTCTGTCTCCCATTATCTCCGCGAGTTTTTCCCGTGATGAGTCTCCTGTCGTCAGTTACATACGTCTCCTCTCCACATCAGCGTCTTGCTTTGACTCTCACTTTTCCAACCTTTATCTTCATCTTTAAAAGAATATCCATCTCCCTCTGTTTTAGGAATAATAATCTGGAAATCCTGCAATTATTTATTCATCCTAACGTCGTTCCAAACTCGTATACTGTAATACATTTCTTTAATTTATGTATCTGTAATGAATCTGGAGTGCTGTTAAAAATAAGCCATATATACAACCCTATTGTTTATTCTAAATATATATATATATATATATATATATATATATATATATATATATATATATATATATATATGTGTGTGTATATATTAGGGCTGTCAAACGATTAATCGCATCCAAAATAAAAGTTTGTGTTTACATAATATATGTGGGTGCACTGTATATAATTATTTTAAATATATAAATACACACATGCTTGTATATATTTAAGAATATATATATACTGTATACTGTATATAGATTTATATATAATTTATATTATATATAAATATGTATATATAAATAATATTTTTTCTTAAATATACATGCATGTGTATATACAAAATAATTATACACAGTGCACCCACATATATTATGTAAACACAAACTTTTATTTTGGATGCGATTAATCACGATTAATCATTTGACAGCCCTAATTTAATTATATATATATATATATATATATATATATATATATATATGTAATTGACTTTTATTGATTTTATTGTATTTTATTTGTTGTGTTTCATTTTTTTATTTTGAATATTCTATTTTTTTGTGTAAATATTTGAAATTTTAAGTTTAAGTTTATTTTAGTAATTAACAAATTATTAATTAATACAAATATTGCTGGGCAACAATTAATCGCGATTAATCACATCCAAAATAAAAGTTTGTGTTTACATAAAATATGTATGCATAATTATTTTGTATATATAAATTCACACTCATGCATGTATATAATATATTTGCATGTACTGTATATATATTTATTCATAGTTTACATTAAATATATACATTAATATTTTATATATTATTAACACATTTTCTTAAATATATACATGCATGTGCGTGAATTTTTACATATAAAATAATTGTACACCGTACACACATATATTATGTAAACACAAACTTTTATTTTGGATGCGACTAATCGCGATTAATCGTTGCACAGCTCTAAAAATAATATATAAAAACAATGTAAATTTGATTGAACATTGATAAAAATGTTTTAATATACTGAATAAACTCACTAAGACTTTTTATTTTATTGAATTTTTTTTAAGAAATGTGCATTTTGCTACAGATTTCACATGGACTTTACCAGCGAGCTCCTTTGTCTCTCTGGTCGTCCGTGTTCACGTCTGCTTCTCTGTGCTCCTGCAGGGCCCGGGGCGGTGTACGGCGGAGGAGCGTCTCTGAACGGACGTTTATCAGGAGTCGGTCTGTGGTTCTGCCTCTCCATCTCTGTTCTGATGAAGGTCTAAAACTTTCCCGCTTCGGCAGGAGTCTTTAAATACGAACCCATCACTGTGAACAAAAAGAAATTATGCATTAATCCAGGAGCCATCGCTACATCACCCGATCATTCCTTTCTCTTCCTCGTTCCCATTCACGCCCGGTCGCATATCACGCTTCATATCCCCCAACGACGGTCAACCTTTTAACGTCCAAACCTGATGTGAACGACAAGTGTGTCTCTTGATGTGCGTGCTGGACATGCTGGTCGTAACGTGACGGTGTTGACGACGATGTTCGGATGACCCTCTCGGAGCCGTTTCACCAGCGGGCCCGTCGGCCGTTGACCCTCGGATCCGAACGCGGAGATCTGAGCTGAGCGGCGGTGCATTCTGACTATGAATGATGTCAAACCACGTGTTTTTCTTTCTAGCGAGGGTTAGCAGGTGTGTCATCTCGTGCCCAAAGCGAACATCTGACCCGCGTCCAGCCCATCACTCAGTGTAAATATATATGCAGTAGAGGCCACTCATTTCCCCGTTTCCCATCAGCCTCTCTGTTTCAGCCTTTCGGCTCGGACGATATCGCTGCCTTTAAGTCACGTTGGAATGATCGTATTTACGAGATGACCACCAAAATGTCATTATTAGTGCTTAAACGTCTTGTGTTTGACGGGAAGTTAAAACATTTAAATACTTTTCAACTTTGCGAAGTGGAAATGAAAAACTCTGGTTTAGTCAATCAAATAAAAATGACAGCTGTAGACTTTATTCATGTACTAAAAACATTCGCAAACACGGCTTAGATGAGTGAGAAACGCGAGTGAAAGAAATAAGTTGCGCAAAAAACAATGCGAATGCATCATGATTACGTACAAACTCGTAAGTAGGAACTTTCCGCAAGGACTTGAAGACAGCAGAAGTTTCTGGCGTCTCCTGCCCTGAAACAGTTCATCGACTTCTTGTTGCTTGTGGATAGCATGTACCGGTTAGAATTGTCCCTCTTGTGACCTCACTTCCTGCACCGCCCCCGTTTTAACCCCCCCTGCACTGTGTACATTTTAATCTGCAAGGTTAACTGCTATTCCTTTTTGGTGTTAATAATGATGATGATGATGATGACGATAATAATGATGATGACAATGTTAATAAGTATTTGAATAAATATGATAGTAATTCCATGTGAGAAAAAAAAAATGTCAGAGCTGATCACAAGCCATGTGTGTGAAAATATTTTGTACTAAAAATCACTGAATTCATCGAACAGCAAAAAAGAACAAAAAAACAACAAACTTTTTGAAGTATTGTGCTCTGTTTTACCATGATTAACTTTTTTAAAATGGAAGTAATTTGACCAAGTCCGTTAAAGAGAGCAATCAGTGAAATGCGAGGGCGCTTGCACGCGGGAACACTTGTCCAATCACATTTTCCATTGAACTCAATGCGTTTGCATTGGAAACTCTAGCGTGTAGGCGCCCTAATATCGTTTCAAATGTGTACTGTATGTATTGCGATTGTTTTTTTTTTCCATGCTGTTGATGATTGTAATGTATGATATATTCTGCCGTAATGATGTAATGCTCACGTCTGCCTCGATGACATAACCAAAAGCCTCAGAATCCTGCGGTTGCACATCACGTGCTGCGTTCCATTCAAAGACGATTGTCGGATATTGTCCCCATAAATGCATGCATTAGTTCATGCGTTGTGCTATGGAAATGACCTGGCTAATGAAGCCATTCGTTCCTCTCGCAGCCGAATTGCGATGCTATGCAATGCTAGCATTTGTTCTGTAGGTGTTTAGGTCACAGACGGGACCATAGTGTTTTATTTATCATGCATATCAGCGTGTGAATTTCATGTTGCATCTCATCTGATTCATCTGCACTTTTCCAAGTTGGATGGAACGCAGTATTAGATTCTGTTCGCTGCCTCTTTTTTTTTTTCGGTTCAGAATCAGATTAGCGGGAGATAAAGATGTAATTAGCCCGCGACTCGCTAAGCAAGCGGACCGTCGTTTTCTCTCCGTCCCCCATCTGGTGAGCGGCAGAGCTCATAAATCAAGCTCAGTCCAGGCGCTGACAGAATCCTCTTCAAGGACAGCTGTGCCTTTGAGTCTTGGAGCCCAGTGTGGTGTCCGATCCCCTACAGGATAATTAACCGCCACTTAAGAGCACACGGCGAAGAGGCTTTGACGTAAAGCAGCGGTGCGCGACTTAACGCGGTGCTTTATGCAACTCTTCACAATGACCCTGCATGAGCGCTAACCGTTCAGTTTGCAATGTTAATGCTGTATATATAATAGGAAAATGTTGCGTTCCCTGAATATGTGCGCCATTATTGCATTTCAGCCAGCATTAACCCCGGAATAAAACCCGAAAAAGTTCAATTTGGAAGAGTAGTTCACTTTTCAAAAAACTTTTGCTGATAATTTACTCACCCCCATGTCATCCAAGATGTCCATGTCTTTTTTTCTTCAGTCGAAAAGAAATTAAGGTTTTTGATGAAAACATCCCAGGATTTTCTCCATATAATGGACTTCAATGGGGTCCAAACGGTTCAAGGTCCAAATGAGAGTTTCGGTGCAAACTGTACAAAGGGCTTTAAACGATTTTAGACGATAAATAAGGGTCTTATAAAGCGAAACGATCGCTCATTTAAAAATAACAAAGTTTAAGTTTTATAAGCTCAAATGGTCGCCTTGCTCGACTCTCCTGTTCGAACTTTTTTCGTGTCATTTGGTTCATTCAACGAACGAAATGAACGAGTTGACTCGGGAAAATATTCGTTCATTTTGATAAACGAGTTTGAATAGGAGAAGAACCCTTATTCATCGTCTGAACTCGTTTAAAGCCCTTTGAACAGTTTGCAGTTTGCACTGAAACTCTCATTTGGACCTTGAACCATTTGGACCCCATTGAAGTCCATTATATGGAGAAAAATCCTGGAATGTTTTCATCAAAAACCTTAATTTCTTTTCGACTGAAGAAAGAAAGACATGGACATCTGGATGACATGGGGTTAAGTAAATTATCAGCAAAAGTTTTTGAAAAGTAAACTACTCCTTTAAAGACTGTGCATTTGTACACTAATTGAAGAATGTGCACTACATAGTTAAGTACACAGTGGCCGCAAAAAAAGTATTTGGACACTTAAACGACACTTGATTGATTAGATCATGCATTAAATAGCTCATCAAACCATTTGTTTTTACGAAATAAAGTACAAACACACTTTATAGTACTTCTCATAATGAAGTTTGATAGATTACAAAGTATGCAACAATAAAATTAACAATTGGACACTTTCTGGTTGTCAAACATTAAGTCGAAGACTTCATTCATAGCAAAAATTACTTAGATGCAATTTAATCGTGACGTAAATGTCGAAATACTTCCCCGCCACCGTACGAGGGTTCAACGTCAAGCACAAAAGCAGCGGATTTTCCTCATCTCTTAAACTTTCGGTCCCGCTGTCACTCCGCTTTCGCGCTTTTCCTATCATACTCCCTCGAGGTCCGCCGATCCATCTCTGTATACATGTATTCTCCTCAAATATAAGTAAACAAAAGAGAAAAAAAAGTATGAAATGTCGTTTCACATTCTCTGTGTGGGTATAACGCATGTAAATGTCTGTTTTGGGTGTGTGGTGGTTATCGTGATGGAGCACTGCTGGTGTACGTTTCGGCCCGGGATCATTTCCCCTCGTGATTCCCGCGCTGATCTGCAGAGATTCGGATTGAGAGGGGACTGAGGTAGAGGTCTGGCATGGAGGACAGATGGGAACCGGTCGGGTCGGACAGGGAATCCTTCATAATGATCTACAATAGCAGTACGTCAAAGGCATCGAGGCACATCGTAAGAAAGACGGAAATTATAGCTGCGAATATTAATCAAATTATAAACTGAAATGAAATTTACATAATCCGTCCCTATTTACAAATGGCTTACTTATAGTTAAAATGAGATAGAAGCGAGTTCATTCAATCTAGGGGCCCTGTCTTGAACCCAGCGCAATTGACTTTGTACACCGACGCATGTGTCCCGTGCAAAGCGGACTTTTCCTTCCAGTGCGCCGTTATAGTAGTATTGCTCCATGGAACAAACGAACCTCGTTTATCGTGCTCTTAAAGGGAATGTGATATGACGCTCTGATTGGTTTATTTCACGTTACGCCCAAACCACACCTATGAATAATGAAGCTACTTCACACCAACCCCTTTTAAACTTGCGTCGGGCGCGAGAGTCATTTATCCCGCCGATTAAATAGCAACAGCGCCGAGATCCGCCCACAAAGTTACTTGCGCTTTGCATTGCGTTTTAGATTGTTAAAATAGGGCTCAAAGTCTATATAAAGGCCTGTTCACACCAGTGTTGTAGTACTCGAGACTCGGACTCGTCTCGGACTCGGTCTCGAGACCATATTTTAATGGTCTTGGTCTTGTCATGGACTCGTGTGCATTTGGACTCGGAATTGACTCGTACTCGAACATTTTTTTTTTTAGGACTCGGACTTATTCCCGAGTCCACTCGTGTTCAATTCAAAATATTTTTCATGATTATTAATGTGTGTTAATAAAATATTTCTTTAAATTGATTGACACGCCCAGTGATTGGTGATTTTCTAGTGCGCAACTGTGCATGACAAATTGTAATAAAATTGCTTTTAACACCACCTACTATGTGGCCTTTTTACCCTAAACTGATCATATTTTTTAAACTCTAAGTAAATTCAGTAAAAAAAAAAAAAGAAGGATTTCTCTAAGTAAATAAAAGTAAATAATCAACCCTCACTGGTCTCGACTTGGACTCGACCGTCTCTGGTCTCGGACTCGACTCGGACTCGACTCTCTCTGGTCTCGGTCTAGACTTGGACTCGAGTGAGGTGGTCTCGACTGCAACACTGGTTCACACCAAAAACAATAACTATAAAGATGACTATACGTTCTGGTAATTCTACGCGTGCGCTTATGTTGTCAGTCAGCCAATGTATTCAGTTGTTGATTGTATTTGATGTATGGGATTTTGGGAACCATCCAAAAATTTGGTGGAATGCTAAAATGCTCGAGCTCTTTAAAGTAGGAGGCATTTTGATTGGCTGTCAATGTTAGCTGTAAAAAATTAGTTCTGAAAGTAATTCCAATAATATACTTGTGGTGTGAATTTTGCTTTATTGAATTTTGGTTATTGTTATAGTCAATTCGGAGGCCTGTTTCAACACACAAACACAGAAAATAAAGTACATAATTGTATCTACAATGGCTTGTCAATGGGGCTGTACAGATTTTGTACCCTTGGCATAGGGTACATATTTGTTATTTCCTTTATTTCAAGGTTATTTCAAGGCTACACTCTTAGAAGAAAAGCTTAAAAGGTTCTAAAGCGCTACGTTTTTGGAATCCCTAAAATGCAGTGCATGTGAATGATCACAAAATTTAATAAATGGGGGTTAAAAAATGCAATTAATCAATATCACACAAAGAGTGCCATTTCAGTTTTTATCCTCCAAAAATCTGCATGATTAAAATGTGAAAATGTTGCAGAATAATGTCATATATGAATCAATAATAGCCTATAAAGAACCTTTGTGCCAAAAGGGTTCTTTCTTGTCATTATAGAACATTTTTTAGCCTAAAAGCTCCTTTGGAGTCGAGTAAAGAACCCTACATGCTACATATATAGAACCCCAATGAACCCTTTTTTCTAAGAGTGTACTCAAATATAGTGATAAGTTCAAATCTACCTTAAATAATTAAGGTATCATTAAAACCTTTAAACAACAACTTTTACGGAAAAAAAATGGCAAAATCACAGCAAAAACTCCAGTGTTAAATATGGCTCCAAACTCAAGTGTTAAAATGCTGAAATATGAGTGTTAAATTAACATTAAGTTAATGAGCGCATTAGGTGATTCATTGAGTGATGATTGACCATTATTGAAGCAGAATTACTGAAGGAGAAAATCTATTTTTAAGTCACCATTATGGTGATCAGTGTTTGCTTTAGTTGGGCTCTTGGCTCTTAAACTGTTAATATTAGATTTTGGGTACAAAATTTGTCCCCTTG